TAATATATATATATATATATATATATATATATATATATATATATATATATATATATATACATATACACACAGTATATATACATATAGTTTTAAAGAATTAAACAAAAGTAAAGTAAATAATATTTGGATATAATGAAAAAAAATTTTTATTTAACCATTGGCATTTATGTTATCATTGCATTAAAGATTATTAAACTATTATGTGGAAAATTACTTTTTCTATTAAATTTAAATAAATAATAATTATTAATTCATATTTATCGGTATACTATGCTTTCATAACAGAATAAAACAATTAAAAGTTAATTGTTACTTTTTATCTCACAATTCTTTTTTTTTCCTCGCAATTTTCAGAAAAAACTCAAAAAGATAAACTCAAAATTCAGATAAGAAATTTGAGAAATATTAGAATTGTATGATATAAAATGACTTTTTCTTGCAATTTTGTAATTGCAAGATATTAAACTTGCAATTGTGAGAAATTCTGAGAATTCTGAGTTAAAAACTTTTTTTTTAAAACCTTTTTTTTTTTAATTCCATGGTGGAAAAAAAACAATTGTGAGATGTAAACTCAAAATTCAGATAAAAAGAAGTCAGAATTGCAAGATATAAACTTGCAAGATTTGTGAGATGTAAACTCGAAATTGCGTGAAAACAAAATAATTGTGTTTATATATCGCATGTCTGAATTGTGATTTTAATTTTTTTATTATGTGACAGAAACAGCCTTCTATAGCACTCCCCCAAAGTAACACTTGATTTTTTTCTGAAATTTTCCCCAACTCTGAAAACCTCAAATATGTTATACTGCTGGATAGTGTTGTTGATGTGATAAAATAAAATAATAAAACATTTCCACAAATTTGCAATGAACCAAACTTATTTTTTAATGTTTATGTTTATGTTAACAATAATGTAAGTAGTACATTAATGTAAGTCGGAGCTGGTGATATTTCATTTGTTCTCCACAATTAGTAGCAAACTTGCATTCAGGTTGGGCTTGAAAATTAATCACATTATGGATGTAAACTGGTTGCAAATGCTGTTTTGTGTTGACTTCAGTTGTCTACTTCGGCTAGATGTGCATGCATTGTATGCTGTCATGCATGACTTGTGAAACTTCTATGTAATACTACTACTCTGAAACTGCAGTGTAATACTATTAAGAACAACTTGCCCACTGTGGCGTTCCCTTTCAGTCGGTCACTCTCGACGTCACGTCGGAGGACCGACGAAATTGGGATCTCGCTTAGAGGGACCAATCTACTTTGAGTGTAAACTAAACGAACCAATGCACATTGGCATGCGATTATTGCATCCAGCTGCTGCTCTTTGCTTTACTACAATCGGTTTAGTGGTGATTCTTCTCTGGTTTGTGTTTGTTAGCACTGCAGTATTAATAGAACGGTGAAAAACACTTGCTGCTTGATGTACTTGGACAAGATCCAATGATATGCAGCAGTAGAATTAGCATTTTGCGTTTCTGGCTTATTTTGCTCTGCCAGCCCCCATGCACAGGGTTCGAACTGTCATGTACCTGTCTCTTTGATAGCCCGTCTCACAATGAAGTGCGGGAGATAAGTGTGTGTGTTTGTGTTGAATAATTTGTTGTACGTTAGTGGAACAGGATTCTAAATCCGTGCTTGTTCATGTATCTATCATGATAGGGGATGATGTGTAACCTTATGTATGTTTGTTTGTTTGGTGTGTGTGTGTGTGTGTGTGTAAAATAGAAACTTGCTTATGCTCTGAAACAATCTTCCTTTTCATTGGTCTGTCAGAAGAGACTGAACTTCCCATAAAATCACATTTGCAGCATTTATTGTAACGTTGGTGATAAAGAAAAGGGGAAAAAAGATATGTGCCAATTTCTTAGAAATGTACTCTTTGTATTCTTGTTGGTTTCATACAGGTTAAAAAAAATAACAATAATAAATTTCAAGAAAAGATTCAATTTAATGACTCTAAAAATGAAGATGAGATGACTCTAGAAAATAATCAATTGAAGAGTAATACAATTTTTATTACACTTTGAAAACATAAGTGTACATATCTTAATCATTATTTTCAAATTTGAAAAAAAAAAAAAAGTGTTCAGGGTAAAAGTTTTGTTTTGTTTTGTTTGGTTATGCAAATAACATGAATTTCTATTAATAAATGTTAAGTTTTTAGGGAGTCACACCACAACCAGATCTAATGAAATCTAATGAATCTCATGAAAAAATGTCAAATTATGATATTGATTGTACCACAATCTTACAAAAAACAACAACAAAAAAAAACTATTTAAAAAAAAAATTTAAATATAAAAAAATACTATTACAAATTACTATTACTATTAAAAAATACTATTACAAAATAATATTATTACTATTAAGAAAACATTTTAATTATTTCAATTTTTCCCCCCTAAGGAATAATAGTAGACAATTATACCTAATAATAACTAAATTATAACTATTTAACATTTTCTTGTCAAGAATTTCCTTTTTAAATGAGGCTTTACTCTTTATCAAAAATTAAATGATTCTGGAATTTAAAAAAAAAGCTTTGTATTGTAGATGATGTATCATATCATGTCATCATGTATATTCTAGAATTGTCTTTCTAAATTTGTATTTATTTATTGTTTAAATGAATGAGGGTCATGTCATTGACCTATATTTGGTGTTCACCAATCAAAACACATCTCTCAATCATGTGACCAAGTGACCTACTGTACATGATCAAGCAAAAATGTAGATGCAAATGTATTTGATGGCATATTAAACCCCTGTTGTGTTTTTGTTCCGTGCAGTTCTCGGCCCGGTCGTCCTCCCAAGCGTTCTCTCGGCTTGGCGATGCAGGACAGCTCACGTCTGCTTCCACACGGCGTTCACGGGCTGCTCTCTCCCAGCCTGCTCTCCCCGACAGGTAAGACACCCCCCTCTCGCTCACCCACCTGCAAGACCTAAAAAAACCAGCCTCACCTGTCAATGAACGACATGCTCTCAGACGGACGCCAGTGTGTAAAACCACGCATATGAACATTTTGTCTCATTTATGCTTGATTTTTCTTTCTTCTCTGAAATCTGGATTTTTGGGGGGTCTTTTTTTCCCATCTCTCTCGCTCTCCTTTTCTCTCCTCCTCCCACTCTTCCACCTTCTGCAAATCAGCTCGTATTGATTTCCCCCCTCTGTCCTTCACTGGCCACCACTGCGTCTCAAACAGAGGTTAAACTATTGGATTTCTGTAGCCTCTTTGCTTTTTTCCTGTGCATGCATTTGCTTTCTCTCTTTCTCTGTCGTCATCCCGCTTTCATCTTTCCTTCCTTTGGAATGCAATCTGTTTCAGATGAATTGTTTTATCGCTTTCAGACCAAATCCCAAACCACTGGACATCACCTGCGTGTTTGTTTGTGTATTTACGAGTAAACCGCATGTGTCGTGCTCGGATACGTTAACGTCATCTCCTCTTCTTGCCTTTTAGCTTCAGTTCTCTAAATTGCTGATGGTAGTGGCAATTTAGCTCTCACAATGGCCAGCGTGTGTATCGATCTGCGCAGCGCGGAATAGCCGGAGCAGTCCGTTAGCCGGCCCCGCTGATTGATTTTAGATGACTCTGTTGTTATTTCTGCCGGCCGCTCCGGTGGGGGGAAAAGAGCTCTTTAAAATGTGCGTCCACATTTCTCTCAATCCCTCTGCTCATCTCGCCGTCCCCAACGCCAACAAATGTCTGACTTTGTAGGATGTGATGCGATTTGAGAGCAACGTGAGTTAATAGGGACACTGACATTATGGGCCTCATTCATGAAACGTGAGCATGAATTTCTGTGTGAATCATTTGTAAAACCATTCTTACCTAACATGAAAAATCATAAAACTATATATATATTTTTTTTTATACAGGTCATTTATTTTTTGAATGATTTTTAGGTGCTTTTAATTTAAGTTGGAATTTAGCAAAGGTGGATTTACTGTGACATTTTTAACAATCATATTTCATGTAGACTATACACTGTTGCTCATAAGTTTGGAATCATTCAACTTTTTTCTTTTTTTTTTTAAAAATGTAGTCTCTTATGCTCACCAAGGCTGCATCTATTTGATTAAAATATCCAATAACAGCAGTAATGTTGTGAAATATTATTACAATTTAAAATTCTTGTTTTCAATTTGAATATATTTTAAAATGTAATTTGTTCCTGTAATCAAAGCTGAATTTTCAGCATCATTCAGTGTCACATGTTCCTTCAGAAATCAATTCTTATATTTTTTAAAGAAAATTTTTGTTACATTATAAATGACTCCGCTTGCTGAATAAAACTTTTTTTTTTTTAAATATGTTTTTAATAGTAGTCTATCACAGTTTCCACAAAAACATTAAGAAAATAATAACAATGTTTCTTGAGCTGCAAATCAACATAATAAAATGATCTGAAAATTCTATATTTCATCACAGGAATAAATTACACTGATCAAATAAAGGCAGCCTTGTTGAATATAATAGGCTACCTTTAAAAACAACAACAACAACAACAGCAAAAACTAAGTTTTGACCGATAGTGTAACTTATGTATTTCTTCCAGATGGTAGTTACTGGTATCATTTACCCTTTTAAACATGTTAAATGAACTAAAGGGTTTATTTTGGACTCTATCCGGTTATGTTCCAAACCCCTCGGGTCTTTCTGCTGTAATTCCATGCATGAATCCATGCAGCGCTAAAAGAACTGACATCCACATGTATGTCAGGATGCCTCCGTCTATTCTCCGTGACAGCAGTATCAACATATTGTGAAACTTGAGGAGCTGAACTTAATCTGAATGTTTATAGCGAACAACACCTGCACTTCTTCAGTTACTTGCATGTATTCCAGTAAGAATAGACAGCGCACTTTAAAGTGCTAAAGTCAAGCTGCTTCATCTAAAATGTAAATCATCTACACTTTTACATAATTTTTTTTACATAGATGTATCGCCCTTCCACTGAGATACAGTATTCATGGTAATATAACGCCTGAAAATATTAACTTGTAAATGGGACACAATTATCAAAGACGACTAAATTTGTGATCTTTCACGGCAAATTACTGGATTTTTGACTTTTTAATGAAGTAAAAATGAATGTAATTAGTATTGGTTGTAATATTAATCTAGTATCAATTCTAATTACAGTTGTACAGTTGTCCGTCAGTAATTATACAAGTGTGCATTTATAATGAATTCATGTTGTAATAAATGAAATAACCATTTTTAATATTTTAATATA